CTCTGTATAACAATACACCTATTTAAAGCAGAGAATAATGGCCAGGTAAGTAAAGCAAGTTGCTTTTCTTGCTTTTTGCAATAACATTCTGATTTATGGCTTATCAAATCTGACTCCCCCACCCCACCCTGCACAGGCTACACGTACCTCTTTGTGAAATGGAAGAGATTATCTCTTTAAAGCCATTTTCAAAACTCTCGCTCCCACATTCTGTTCAGAATTTATTGACGTTGTATCCCTGTATTTCAATTACTCTGCTGAGATGACTTACCCCAGTTTCTAAATTATTTAAAATGTGCTTTTCTATAAAGCTGCCACTATTCATTTAGTGCCGGGATACTGAAGCTCAAAGGGAACTTTGAGAACAGGCAAAAGAAAAAAAGAAATATTGAAAGGAGGGATATCCCAGTGCTAGATGGATTTGTTCCATTGTCTGATGTAGAGCTCAGTATCTGTATTAGAGATGCTTCGAAGATTTTCTTCAGTCAGACTTTATGGGTCCAAATTGCCTAGTCCTCTTGTACCTGAGATGGCACTTCAGAATGGGGGAGAAATTTGCCATCCCATGCTGTGAAGTCTGGAGTGATTTCCCTGGGAGGAGGGATTGATTGTTAAACCTCTTGGGAATTGTAGTACTGTGAAGGAAATAAGGGTCTCCTACCAGTTCTCAACATCCCTAACAAACTACAGTTCCCAAGATTCTTTGGGAAGAAGCCATGATGGCTTAAATCGGAATGATACTGCTTAAGATGTGAAAGGCAGGTGAGGCCTAATAAAAGTGTCCAGGCATTCCATCAATTAGTGTTGAAGGCTCTGTTAATGGGAAGGAGTTGTTGTTTTTCCAATGAGGGAGGATAAAATTTCTCATTTTCCTCTCATCTTCCAATGTGGAGTTTATGTGGCTCCTAACCTTTGAAGGGGCAGCATCTTTGCCACACCCAGTCTCCCCTCAGAAGAAGGCTCTGAGTGGTTTGGCCCAGGGGAGAAGTTGATGAGACTCTTTTTGTGTAGCAGAGTCAGTTTGCTTTTGGGAGGTATGAGGCTATTTCAGCTGGCTCCTCTCCAAACTCTCCATACTTCTCTTTCTCTGGCGCATTCCACATTTTGAAAATAACCGTCATGTTGTATGTCCTTTGGGCAGTCTCCTCACCTCCCTGTGCCTTCAGGAAAGCCCCATTAAGTCACAGGGTCTTTCAAGAAGTGTGGGCACCTAGGAAGGCTGCAGAATGTAGGCCACCAGAGAGAAGATTTGTAAAATGAAATGACACCCCACAGGACCCCTTAGTCACTTCAAACACATACAAACCCATGAGCATTTCACCAAGATTCCATCTTCTCATTGGTAATTTAGAATGCAATTTATTTTCTCATTAATTGCCAGACAATGGTTGTGGTGGTAGAACAATCTTCTGGCACAACACTGCTGAGCACAGCCAATCAGGCATCACATAGTGCATCGGATTTAAACCATGCAATGATGTCCCTGAGGGCAATAAGCATAAATTTCAGGTAGGGGTTAAAAAAAATAATCACCAGGAAGGAGAGCCATTTTTCAATATTTATTAAAACTTTCCAGAAAAAATGCAGAAGAAAAAGTGATCTGCTGCCAAGATCATCCTCATTGAACCTCATATGAACCGTAAGTTGAGCTGTGCAGGCTTTTAGATATCCAAGTCTCCTTTCCCCCACTCCAGGCCATGTGCCCTTCAACAAGTTCTTATCTCACAGCCTTAGTTCCTCACCTATTAAACAGGTATAATAAAGATCTAACTTGCAAGGTTGTTCCAGAGATTGACAATAGATATTGCAAAACAACGTAAATTAAAATATCCTATGGAGATAGATAATAATAGTTCTATTTATTTTATCCCACACAAAAGATAAACCATTATCTCTCCAATCCGTTGCACAGTTTGTCATCTGGGGACATTGTCTGCCCTCTCTTTGAGGGTACATTTATATCAGAACTGAATTTTACCTTCTGAGAAACGAGCCCCATGACTCTTTATCTCGCAAGAATATCAGTGTCCTGTTTTATTTTCTTTCCCCTGATAAAAGCTAAGGAACACACAAACGAACAGTGTTGTTGATCTAAGGGTGCCTCAGCTGAGCCAGGAGATCTTTCAAATGGTTTCTGGATATGAAACCCAGCAGGTGGGGGAAGGTCATTTATGTGATCCCCAGCAGCTGGATAATCTGCTTGCATTCACCTCCTCAGATTGAAATCTTCCTGGGGGTCAAAACAGGAATTGAATTGGCTGATGGGTCAGACTGCATCACACAAGAAAGACTTTCTGAAGAGGGAAATCAGAGAGGAGCTCCATACGTCTCTTGCAGGCTTTTGGATCTGCCCACCCAACCTGTATAACATTCCAGTTCAGTCATAGGCAAATGGTGGGATAGTGTTAATGACCTCTCTGTCCTCTAAAAGTCTGGGCACCTGTGATTTCTATTATTATTATTATTATTATTATTATTATTATTATTATTATTTCAGGCAAACTATTGAAACAAACAAACCAATATGACACAAAACACTTCAAAGATCACTTTGTGAAAGTAAACCCATGCATCCTCACTACACATTTTGGAAAGAATATGTATCTCTAAATGCCAAACATATAGAATCAATTGCAACAGCAGACTTGGTTTCCCTTTTTTGAATATATTAACAGGGAGGGATCTTCCCATGCCAGTCCACCTTCTCATTTTTCATTTTGGTTGGGGTATTTAAGTATCAACTGATAGTCAGTGAAGTACGATTGTAATCTGGTATACTGGTTTGCTATTTTTCATTCCACAACTCTGTATTACTGTATTTTTTCCCCTCTGTTTCTTTACTCTTTCTTCTTTGCCTGCACACATGCAACAAAAAAGGCAATGAAAATGTTTTTTAAATCGATTTTTAAAAAAGATTTGTGACATTAACAACAACCTTCTTTAAATCTGAGAGAGTCGGTGGCATGATATCTGAACAAAGAAAATCCAGAATACTTAGAGAAAGTTCGGGATAACATACCTTTGTCAAAAGAAAGGGGGGGTCTGGGTTCTTTTGGTGATGAATTAATGAAAGAAGTGGTATCTCTGTTAATGTTGCTTCTTACTACTCTGCAGTGTTGTGTTAGCTTGTCTACAAGTGCAGTCTTCCAAACCCTATCATGCCAGTTTTGCATAGTTAACAAACAACTGTGATTTTTTAAAATAAATCCACTGCTACCTGGGATGTGTGTGGGGTGTATGTGTGTGTGAATGCTTCCCTCATAGAATTAATTCAAACATGTACAACTGAAACTCAATTTTTATGTGTGCATTTAAAAAAACCCCCACAGAAAATGGAACAGAATATACAACAAAATGCATGTGAGACTGATGTGTAAAAGATGTCCATCCTTATCTCAGATGCTGATGGAATTTCAAAAGAGAGAAAAGTCACGACCTCCAAGCTCAACCATCATGCAGTCTGTGTATTCAAACAGATTTTGGTGCTGACTCAGGGCCAAAAAGGTCCTGATCTGCTGCTGACAAATGAACATAGAATCAGCCTTCACCCTGCAATAATAGCTGAGTTGAAATCTTATGCCCTGATGGTGGTGGTATTATTGGAGAAATCCATAAGTGACAGATGGTTGAAGATAGAGTGATTTTGAATGAAGCAGTAGAGGTGAATGGAGAGAGAGGAAGGAAGGAAGGAAGGAAGGAAGGAAGGAAGGAAGGAAGGAAGATACACTGACTGGTTGGTTTGCGTAAGATACTCATTTAGGTACTTGGGTCCAGTGCTGTTTAGGGCTTTATACGCTAGAAATAGCATTTGAACTGGTGGCCAGTAACTCACTGCCAAGTTTGCCCATATGCAACAGGTTTAGGTGGCACCCATTGGATCATCAGTTGTATTCAGCAAAGCCCTAGTTTAAAACTGTGCCTTGTGTCTTGCCTTTTTTGTCCCACTCTCCTTACTCAAAGACAAGTTTCCTTATCCATCACCACCAGAAGCCCAGAAGCCTCTGGGTGGGTGGGGGCATGAAATAGCCCAATGTAATTCTGTTGATAAAAGTCTGTGTTATGAAGAAAGATCTCACCAGAGGAGAGAATAGGGGGTGTTACAGCACATGTTTCATCTCGTTTCTGGCAGCTAGAGATAGCCCAGCTATACATTAGTGGAGAGCTACTAACATCACTGGCCAAGATATTGTAAAAGAAAATTAACTTTCCTATCTAGGCTGCTGTTATCTCCATTGATCTGCACTGAGCTCTGAACTGGCCTGGAAGAGAGAGAAAAGCCAGTAAGTGAAGATGCTTTTTTAAAAAAAACCAACTAAAAAAAACCAACCAAGCTATTGGCTACAAGTTACTGGTTGCCATGTAGCCGAATAGGTCCAGATTTGGCCACAGGTGGGTTGTTGTACAAGTTGTGCATGGTACAGGTACGTAAATGAGGCAGCAAGCCGTCAGGACCATGGATAGTTCCCTATGGAGGGGATGCAAGATCAGTCTAGAGGAGATCAGTTTGTTGTATGGGAAGCAGGGAGTGTTGCTGCTCTGAACCAGATCAAGGTTTAAATTGTACTGTTGAAGGTGTGTGATGCCCCCGATCCCAAGAGGAAACCTGGTTGAAATTTAAAGGGGGACACACACTTTGTTGTTGCTGTTGTTGGCAGGGCTAGGATGCCCTGGGGTTGTCATAGCAGACCCAGTACAGCTGAAAAGGTGAGAAGATGAATGCAAACTAGTTCTGCAGGAGAAGAGGGTGGGGGCTGAATTGTCCCCTTTTGTGCCTTCTCTGTGGGTGTCCTCTACTAGGACAACTTGCGTAGAGATTCAGGAACCTAGCCCTTTCTGTCCTCTGAGTTTCCAGAGCCCTGATCTGAAGAGGGAGGCTCAGGGTCCTGAGGAGGGGACACAGAAACAACCTTTATTTATCTATATCATAGAATTTCAGAGGTGGAAGGAACTCCAAGGGTCATCTAGTCCAACCCTGTGCAATGCAGGAGCACTGCCCACCGTGGTCCCTGGAGGGCTTGAACCACCAACCTTCTGGTTAACAGCTAAACACACTGACTCATTGTGCTGCACATATATAACCCACCTTCCACCAAGGAGCTCAAGGCGGCATGCCTACTTCTCCTGATCCCCATTTTATCTTCACAACAACCCTGTGAGGCAAGTTAAGCTGAGATTAAGTGATTGGATCAATGTCGTCCAGTGAGGTTCATGGCTGACGGGGGATTTGAACCCTGGCATTCCAGGTCCTAATCTGGCATTAACCATTACAGCACCACTGGCTTTCACCTTTTCCATGAAAAAAAACCAGAAGGGGCACCTGTTACCCACCTGTGCCCTCTACCCATTTACAGCCACTGTGCCAGTGCAGTTATGGGGTCATCCTGGTTGCCCATGTGCCCTCAAAAGAGAATGGTCACATAGTGGGGCAGAAAGAAAGAGAATAAGCCTGCTAGATAAGGCCTGTAGCCCATCTAGTCCAGCATTCTGGTTCTGGTCAACCAGATGCCCATTATGGGAAACCCACATGCAGGACCCGAGTTCAAAAGCAAATCTCCCCTCCTGTGGTTTCCAGCAAAAGGTATTCAGAAGCATCTCGGCCTCCAAGTGTGGTGACAGAGCATAACCATTATGGCTAATAGCCATCAACAGCCCCCTCCTTCACAAATTTGTCTAATCCTCTTTTAGAGCTGTCCAAGTTGGTGGCCATCACTGCCTCCCATGGGAGGAAGTTCCATATCTTAACTATGTGCTGTGTGAAGAAGGACTTCCTTTCTTTTATGTACTGATTCTTCTAATATTCAGCTTCATTGCATGTCCAGGGCTTCTGACATTGTGAGAAAGGGAGAAACACTTTTCTCTATCCTCTTTCCCCATGCCATGCATAATTTTTTTGTCTCCTTACGAGGTTCTGTGAAGTTGCTGCTGCTGCTGTTTTTATTCTTAGATCACTTTTGAGATGTTTTATAGGAAGTGCTTCATAAATGGGGTGTGGAATAATAATAAAAAATACAGGGTCACACTCACTGACGGTGCTCTATAAATAAATTGGGAGGGTGGGTGGTGTTCTCTTTTTTTGTTCAAAAGTTTGCGGAGTTCCACAATTAGGAAAAGGACAGGATGGGTTAAGGAGGAACTAAGGATCTACGATGATGAACCCTTTTTAATTTTTCCCTATGGAAACATCACTCAGTCCTGGAAGCTGCAAGTGTCTTTTCCTACTCAGAGTCAGGTTCCAACAAGAGTTCAGCACTCCCAGTGTTCTGGGCAGAGGGCCGAATGAATCCAAGGCTGTGCCCAGGCTGTCTGCTGCGAGACCCATTTTGCATGTCGTGAGAGAAAGCATTTCAACCTCTCATGCCAGTTTTTGTTGGGAACTGAGAAATGTTGCCATCTGTGCAAGCCAGCCACTTTAGCAAAGCTGAGAGATGATCCAAATTTAGTGTCCCTGTAGGGGGCAGCGTGTCCAGCTGGGAAGAGCAAGGTCCTGCTCTGAAAAATTATGGCAGCATTGGTACTCCTTCATTTATCCCCATATTTATTTCTTACATCACATGCCTCCATTCAGCCTGGACAATTTTCCAACTGGAGCTTACCACAGTCTTGCTAATATGCTTGGGTGTGGAGGGCATGCTGAATTGAGAAGGTGGCGGTGAAGGTGATGATTCTACGAACTTACATCTGCCACCAATCATGAGTTGGCCTGGTAAAAGAAGGGAAATGCTATGGTGCAATCCTGAGGCCCCTGGAAAGGCATCCTAGAGGCCTTAGGATACTGCAGACCACCCCTTAGTGAGCAGAAAGGAAGTTCCATCCATGGAGAATGAGAGGTCTGCTGCGGAGGACTTCTCTTGAGTAAGTGGGAAACTCTGCCTCTGAAGCTGCCACACAAGTAGTGAAGAGCAAAGAGGTGCATTCTGGAGTGTGGGATTCCAAGGGCACATCAAGAAATGATTTGCATCTGCCATATGCAGGGGCGAGAGACTCTGTGTTTGTTTGTTTTTTATAAATATTTATTAAGGTTTTCACAATATTACAAAATGAAAAAGAAAAAATACAAAATAAAGATAGTTAAAAACAATTCAATCTTTCCATCACTTATCTTTCATTTGCTTGTTTCCCGGACCTCCTCATACCTCCCTTTTTTGTATTCCAGTTCAATTTATTAGTTCAGCAATTCCTTTCCCTCCTTATTTTATCCTGATCTTTAATCTTAATATATTATAGCATTAAATTTTTACCTGTTAAAAATCCATTTTTTCATATTCTTTTATACCATTACAGCTAGAAACCACTTACCTTCAATCCAACATCATTCTAGCATTCATTAATTTTGCAGTATTTCTGTAAATACTCTTTAAATTTCTTCCAATCTTCTTCCACCGACTCTTCTCCCTGGTCTCGGATTCTGCCAGTCATTTCCACCAATTCCATGTAGTCCATCACCTTCATCTGCCATTCTTCCAGAGTGGGTAGGTCTTGTGTCTTCCAATACTTTGCAATAAGTATTCTTGCTGCTGTTGTGGCATACATAAAGAAAGTTCTATCCTTCTTTAACACCGATTGGCCGACTATGCCCAGGAGAAAGGCCTCTGGTTTCTTCAAGAAGGTATATTTAAATACCTTTTTAATTCATTATAAATCATCTCCCAGAAGGCCTTAATCCTTGGGCACGTCCACCAAAGGTGAAAGAATGTACCTTCAGTTTCTTTACATTTCCAACATTTATTATCGGGCAAGTGATAGATTTTTGCAAGCTTGACTGGGGTCATGTACCACCTGTATATCATTTTCATAATATTCTCTCTTAAGGAATTGCATGCCGTAAACTTCATACCTGTGGTCCATAACTGTTCCCAGTCAGCCATCATTATGTTATGTCCAACATCTTGTGCCCATTTAATCATAGCAGATTTCACCGTTTCATCCTGAGTATTCCATTTCAACAGCAAGTTATACATCTTTGACAAAATCTTAGTTTTGGGTTCTAACAGTTCTGTTTCTAATTTTGATTTTTCCACCTGGAAGCCGATTTTCTTGGAGAGACTCTGTGTTGGCCATCAGGGGGCAGCTTTTTCCACCAGCCTTGCCCCACTACCCTGCCCTTGGAGCCTCCAGAAGGGAGCATCTACCAGAAGAACCACAGTGAGGGGTGAGAACCTCCAGAAGGGAGCTGTTTCAAGAGGAAAGGCAGTGCAGAGAGAGCTCTTTTGTTTTTGTCATCAGCGAATGATCGGTTTCACCCATATTGTGCTACCCTCCAGCCCTAGGATTTGAATCACAGAATGGCAGAGTTGGAAGGTCATCTAGTTCAACCCCCTACAATGCAGGAATTGCAGATAAAGAATCATTGACAGATGGCTATCCAACCTCTGTTTAAAAACATCCACTGAAGGGGAGTCCACCACTTTGTGAAGTGCACCGATCCACTATCAAACAGTTATTACCACAAGATGCTCCTTGGGCATGGAAGTGGGAGATTTTGCCAGCCCTGAAGCTGATGTAATTATTTTCTCTCCCATTGAAATTAATGGGATGAAAACCCTTTTAAACACTGGGCGGGGGAGGAGGAGGGTGTAGAAAGCCACACATATACCATCCTAGCCAGCAAAAGCTCAACAGGGGTTAGGAAGTGGAGGGTGGTCAGTGATAGAGCACCTCTTTTGCATGCAGAAGGTCCCAGGTTCACCCCCCTTGTACCTCATCTCCAGACAGGGTTGGGAGAAACCCCTGGCTAGCTACTGCCAGTCAGTGTAGATAACAACGAAGAGGGATCAATGAGTCTTACACATTAGACGGCAGCCCACTGTGTTTGTGAGGCATTATCCATCAGCTGCTTCAGGTGTTTTTTAAATACCTATGGTTTTTTTGCTTAGACTTTCCTGTTGTTACTGAGTCTTTCTTGTTTATCTGCTTTTCCAATACTTTTTAAAATATATTTTTGTACACCACTTAGATATTAAGCCATTCAGAAATGCTTTGACATAAATAAAAGGGTCACAGCCTTCCATCTTTCACTCTCCTGGACTCAGTAATGACCCCTACCTGAAGTGTCACACCTAATTGTGTCCCAGGTACCTTCAAATTCCCCACTCCAGCTCCCCACACTCATCTCACCACTCTGGTTCCAAACTGCCTGCCCTCCCAGATAAGCTTATTAGAAATCCACCAACGTATAACTTTATAGACGTCCTGACACCAGGCCTTGATCAGACACAATCTTTACAAGGCTATTACAGCTTGCTCTCTCTCTCTCTTTTCCCCCCTGGCTCACATGTGTACTGGCACAGTGCATTCACCCACAGCCAAGCTTATTCCTTTATGAAGATAGCAGTGATTACAAAACGGGTTCTGCACAGGAGAAAAGCATCAGTCTCCAGCCATTTCCTCTGACCTGTTTCATGCAGTTATTATTGCCATGCAAGTCCATCTCTCCACAGCTAGCAGCCATGAAGTTTGGACACCCTGAGTGCAGAAATGAGGCATGCTGGGAGCTGCCTTATTCCAAGTCAGACCATCACTCAGTAATGTCTATACTGTCTGGCAGCAGTTCTTCAGCATTTCAGACAGAAGAAGAAGAAGAAGAGTTTGGATTTGATATCCCGCCTTTCACTCCCTTTAAGGAGTCTCAAAGCGGCTAACATTCTCCTTTCCCTTCCTCCCCCACAACAAACACTCTGTGAGGTGAGTGGGGCTGAGAGACTTCAAAGAAGTGTGACTGGCCCAAGGTCACCCAGCACCTGCATGTGGAGGAGCGGAGACGCGAACCTGGTTCCCCAGATAACGAGACTACCGCTCTTAACCACTACACCATACTGGCTCTCTCACCATACAGGGATCTCTTCCAGCCCTATCTGGAGATACCAGGAATTGTTCCTGGGAACCTATGTATACCAAGCATGTGCTCTGCCACTGGGCTATGGTCCAACACAGAAAACTGGCTTAGAACAAGCCAGATCCCTAGTCCACCTTGGGAATCATAGAATTGTAGAGTTGGAATGTACCACAAGGGTAATCTAGTCCAACCCCCTTCAATGCGGGAATATTTTGACCAACGTGGGGCTCGAACCTATGAGCCTGGGATTCAGAGTCTCATGCTCTACCAACTGAGCTATCCCAGTGTTGCCAGGGGAATTTTCCACTTCAAAACAAATTCTGGCCGTGGGATTGACCTTGGGCTTCAACTAGAGTGTTATGGCAGATGGAAAAGAAAAGATAGACTTGCTTCAAGAAAAAACAACGAGGTCTGGTAAATCTTTCCGCCCAGACACTTGGCTGCAGCGAAGAGCATCAGCATCTGGCCCTTCTGCACCATCAGGGGCTGCATCTGTACAACCTAAACCAAAAGGAATGGCATCTGAAGATGTTTTAGCTCTGGCATTAGGCAAAATTAATGAATCTTTGGAAAAACTAAGTAAACAAGTAGCTGAAGCATCAACTAAAATTGATCAAAATACTACAAGCATTAATAATTTGGGACAGAAGGTGAACACTAACACAGAAACTATTGAGAAACTGCTACAGGAATCTACTTTGACCTGAAAGACAGCTGAAGAAGCAAAGGAAATAGCAGTTGCTGTAGAAGAGACGATACCACCGATACATAGGCAACTCGAGGACCACAGGTCGATGTTGTCTATGATTGAATTGAAGGAGAAACAAACGAATTTGAGGATCAGGGCCGTACCTGAACTTGAGAAAGACAATCTGATTGACTTTCTTATGCAGGAATTTGCAGACTTTTGGAACCTAGATTTGGAGAAGGAAGATTTTAAGATAGTGAGTGCTTTCAGGCTTGGAAGAGGGGGGAAGAAGAACAGGGTGAGAGACTGTTTGATCACCCTCTGAACACAAGAGGAGAGAGACAAAACATTGAGTCTGCACTTTCAGAAGACTCTGGAAATACATCAGTCAAGAGTGGAGATATTTAAAGACATCCCGAAACATCTTTTGGACCTTAGGTCCAATTACGGAGATTTGGTCGCCCTGTTGAGAAGCAACAGAATTATCTTTAGGTGGGAATTTCCCCAAGGCCTATCTTTTAGCTTCAAAGGAAGAAAGATAAAAATAAGATCAGTGGACGACAAAGAAAGATTTTTGAAAGATCACGGAGAAGATTTGCAGAAAGAATCTGGAGAAGAGCTAAGAGCACTAGAAAGAGGAATACTAGACATAGCAACACTACCTTTTGGACTGGACTGCTTAGAGAAAGCGATATCACCGAAAGAACAAGAACAAACACTTGGCGCAGTTGGAGGAAAAGCAAAGTAACTACATCATGGCTCTGCAACTATTAAGCTGGAATACTAATGGTCTCAACTCCCCCCAGAAAAGGAAAAGAGTTTTTCATTTATTAAAAAAGGAACAATTGGACTTGATTTGTTTACAGGAAACACATGTGATAAGGCTACATAGAAAAGTATTGATCAACAAAAGACTGGGTCAGGAGTTTATCTCATCGGACAAAGTTAAAAAAAGAGGAGTAGTGATTTATGCAAAGGAGAGTTTATCACCGAAATTTATCTTTATAGATGACCAAGGAAGGCAATTAAAATTCAAATACAAGGAGAGAAATTTTTGATAGTAGGAGTTTATGCACCAAATGAGGGGAATCTGAATTCTTTAAAAAGTTGCATGAGACCTTGATGGACTATTTGGACTATAATGTGATTTTGATGGGGGATATGAACAGAGTGGTATCTACACACATGGACAAGGCACAAAGACAGGTAGTCTCTAAGGATGGTAGACTACCGAAAACCTTTTTTGAAATGACAGACAACTTGGATTTAGTTGATATCTGGAGAATAAAGAATCCCTTGGGTAGAGAGGGAACCTTCTTCTCTGAAGCCAAAATGACATGGACAAGAATTGACCAAATATGGGTAACTAGAGGAATGGCACCAAAGACAAGAAAAGTGGAAATTTGTCCAAAAACCTACTCCGACCATAATGCCGTGAAGATGGAGATGAAACTAACACCAACTGGCTCTTTCAGATGGAGGATGAATGACACCTTATTTAGAGATGAAGAAGTGACTAAGAAGGCCCAAAAAACCTTGAGAGACTATTTCGAGACAAACATGAACACTAATGTTGAAAAAGAGTAATCTGGGACGCAAGCAAAGCGGTTATGAGAGGGTTCCTGATACAACAGAATGCAATAAAGAAGAGAATCCAAAATGAGAAGAAAGATAAAATTTTGGAGAAAATAAAGGAAAGTGAGAAGAAATTGAGAGCAAAACCAAAGTCGCAAGAGATCTTGAGAGAAATAAAGTTATATCAAGTACAATATATGAAAATGATGAATCAGGAAATAGAATGGAAAATTAAACAAATGAGACAAAAGACATTTGAGTCGGCTAATAAATGTGGGAAATTGTTGGCCTGGCAAATGAAAAAAAGACAAAAATTAAACACTATTATAAATCTAGAAGTGGAAGGAAAGAACATACAGAACCCAGTCGAGATTAGAAACTGTTTCCAGAGGTATTTTAAACAATTATATACACAAGGGCCACAGAAAGAAATTGATGTAGATCGATTTTTGAAAATAAATGGATTACAAAAAATCTCTCAAGAAAACTAATTAATGTTGAACTATAAAATAACTGAACAGGAGGTAGAAGGTGCCATTCAGAATATGCAATTAGGTAAATCTCCAGGACCGGATGGACTGACTTCTAGATACTATAGATCTTTAAAAGAATGGTTAGTACAACCTTTAAAGGAAGTCTGTAATGAAATAATGGATGGGAAAAGGGCACCAGAGTCGTGGAAGGAAGCGTATATCACACTTATACCGAAAACAGAGACTGAAAAGACGCAGCTCAAGAACTACCGCCCCATATCACTGCTTAATGTGGATTATAAAATCTTTGCAGATATTTTGGCTAAAAGACTAAAAAAGTGCTAGTGGAAGAGATTCATAAAGATCAAGCAGGCTTTCTCCCGGGTAGACACTTGTCTGATAATATGAGAAACATAATCAATATTTTAGAAAAATTACAAGTGAATATTAATACCAAGGCAGTTTTGATATTTGTGGACGCGGAGAAAGCTTTTGACAACATTTCTTGGAGTTTTATGAAGAAGAACCTACAGGGGATGGGGGTAGGTCAAGGCTTTGGAAATGGTATAAGTGCAATTTATTCAGAACAAAAGGCTAAATTAATTGTTAATAACGTGGTGACGGAGGAATTTAAGATAGAAAAAGGGACACGACAAGGTTGCCCAATCTCCCCATTGCTTTTTATATCGGTCCTGGAGGTCCTGCTGAATATGATTAGAAGGGACCAATTGGTTAAAGGTATACAAGTCGGAGCTAAACAGTACAAATTGAGAGCATTTGCAGATGACTTAGTATTGACATTACAGGAGCCAGAATCTAGTACTAAAAGAGTTTTGGAACTGATTCAAGAATTTGGTCAGGTTGCAGGATTTAAACTGAATAAGTTAAAAACAAAGGTCTTAGAGAAAAATTTAACAGCGATTGAGAGAGAGAGGTTTCAGAATGAGACAGGTTTAACAGTGGTTAAGAAAGTGAAATACCTGGGGATTAACATGACAGCTAAAAATGGGAATCTATTTAAAGACAATTATGAAAAATGCTGGACTGAAGTGAAAAAAGATTTAGAAATTTGGTCAAATTTGAAGCTTTCACTGCTAGGCCGCATTGCTGCGATAAAAATGAATGTATTGCCTAGAATGTTGTTTTTGTTTCAGACATTGCAAATTTTGGATAAAATGGATTGCTTCAAGAAGTGGCAGAGAGATATTTCTAGATTTGTCTGGCAGGGCAAGAAGCCTAGAATAAAATTTAAAATACTAACGGACGCAAAGGAAAGAGGTGGATTTGCCCTGCCAGACCTTAAACTTTATTATGAATCAGCAGCTTTTTGCTGGCTGAAAGAATGGCTGCTTCTTGAAAACACAGACATTTTGGATTTAGAAGGTTTTAATAATGTATTTGGATGGCATGCATATTTGTGGTATGATAAGGTCAAAGCACATAAAGCATTTAAAAATCATATTGTCAGGAAAGCATTGTTTAATGTCTGGATAAGATATAAGGACCTACTTGAAAATAAAACCCCAAGGTGGTTGTCACCGATGGAAGCGAAGGCTCAGAAAAAGCTCAATATGGAGGCCAAATGGCCGAAATATTGGGAAATTTTGGAACAAGAGACAAATTGAAACTGTAGAGTTTTGAAAAACTAAAAAATAAAGTGCGAGATTGGCTTCATTATTATCAGATAATGGAGGCATATAATTTGGATAAGAAAATTGGCTTCCAGGTGGAAAAATCAAAATTGGAAACAGAACTGTTAGACCCCAAAACCAAGATTTTGTCAAAGATGTATAACTTGCTGTTGAAATGGAATACTCAGGATGAAACGGTGAAATCTGCTATGATTAAATGGGCACAAGATGTTGGACATAACATAATGATGGCTGACTGGGAACAGTTATGGACCACAGGTATGAAGTTTACGGCATGTAATGCCTTAAGAGAGAATATTATGAAAATGATTTACAGGTGGTACATGACACCAGTCAAGCTTGCAAAAATCTATCATTTGCCCGATAATAAATGTTGGAAATGTAAAGCAACTGAAGGTACATTCTTTCACCTTTGGTGGACGTGCCCAAGGAATAAGGCTTTCTGGGAGATGATTTATAATGAAATGAAAAAGGTATTTAAACATACCTTTCTGAAGAAACCAGAGGCCTTTCTCCTGGGCATGGTTGGCCAATTGGTGTTAAAGAAGGATAGAACTTTCTTTATGTATGCTACAACAGCAGCAAGAATACTTATTGCAAAGTATTGGAAGACACAAGATTTACCCACTCTGGAAGAATGGCAGATGAAGGTGATGGACTATATGGAACTGGCAGAAATGACTGGCAGAATCCGAGACCAGGGAGAAGAGTCGGTGGAAGAAGATTGGAAGAAATTTAAAAACTATCTACAGAAATACTGCAAAATTAATGAATGTTAGAATGATGTTGGATTGAAGTTAAGTGGTTTTTAGCAGCAATGTTATAAAGGAATATGTAAAAATGGATTGTTAACAGGTGATAATTTAAAGCTATAATATATTAAGATAAAAGATTAAGATAAAAT